AATCCTCAGCGAGGGGACCCGGGTTCAGGACGGGCGGGAAGTCCCCTCCCCGCGCCCCTCGCTCCTCCTGTCTCTCCCCGCTCCTTCTCCTCCCTTTCAGCAGCTCAGGGCCATAAAAATGCAGATGGAGGATCCGTGTGAAATAACGGGCCCATATAAATCCCTCTGCCGCCCGCCTGCAAGATGGATTGGCCGCATTGAAATTCCTCCGCGAGGATAATTAAACTCGGGGCCTCATCCGGGCAAAATTACATTCCTGTAATGGCGTCGCTCGGGGTCCCGGGAAATTGCTCCGTGGGCTTTCAGCGGCGGTTTTTATCGCCGGCCGGGGTGTGCCTGGCTGCTGCTCACATCTCCTCCGGGACCGTAAAGCTGCTGCCGTGATTTATCCTCCCCTTCTCCCAAATCCGATTAAATGGAGGAGCTCGGGGCCGGGGCGCCGCGGGGCCGGGAGCCGGGCGGGGGCGCGGGAAGGACGGGGCCAAGGAGGGGAGGACGAACGGCCCCTCAGAGGGCGGCGGATTTGGCTTTATTTACAGCCGAGGCTTTCTTCTTCTTTTTTCTTTTTTATGGGGTTTGGTGAGCTTTCCCTGTCTGTCTTGGCTGCGCTCACGCCGGGTGCCTGGATGGCTTGTGCCTGACGTGAGGGGCGCGGGCCGGCGTTGCCCCTGCGTTTCCAGGGGCTGCTCTGATCCCGTCTGGGCGACAGCGAGGCCTAAGGGAGTGATGGGGACCGGGAAGGCCCCGCTAAGGGGGAGCGCAGGGCACGAGGGAGGCCGAGGCGCTTCCAGGAACGTCCCCCGGGGCCCACGCCCGTCTGGGCTTCTGTGGTGACCGGGGCCGGGGCTCGCGCGGGTCCCCGCGGCCTCCACCTTCACCACGGGTCCCAGGGGCCCGTCATGCCCGGACTGTCTGAGGCCGGGGAGAGAGGGCTTGGGTCCGCGTCCTGGATTCCCCGTCATCTTCAGCCCCTGGCGTCTAGGTTTGCTGGTGTTGATTTTCCTCTCGGCAGATCACTGGAACAGGAGAAAGGGAAAGGGAAATAAAGGAGTAGGCCAACCCGGCGTAGCTGGGGCATTTTGCTGTTTATTAGCCTAGTGAAGGGATTTTCCACCTATAAAGTTCCAGTCCACGGTGACAGCAGGCAGGAGCCCTCACAACCACATGTTCCTCCTGCTACATTTTGGGCACTGTCCCCCAAATTCCAATTGTATGCTATTTCACATTGCATTGGGAGGGTGGCAAGGTGACAGCGCATGCTTGGGAGGGGGACAGGTGTGGATCCCAAACACTGTGCAGACCAAACATTAGGGCTTCCGAGGCCGAGCTTGTCCTGGTTCCTGCAGACGTCGGCCCCTCCTGCAGTTCTCCTTTCAAACACCAGGTGGCGCAAGCGGCCGCGCGCCCGCACAGAGCTGGCTGGCGGCGCTGTGGCGCCTCGGCCGACCCTCACTCTTGCTATCGCTCTAGCCCGAGCGCGGCGACTCGTTGGTCTGGGCAGCGCATGCGCCGAGCCTTCCCTGCGCTATTCCCGCCCCCTGCCCCTCTCCGTCTTCTCTGCACTGGGAGCAGGTAAGGCCTTGGGCCCTAGCACCCGCTTTGCGCCGCGCACGCGCGCGGGGCACCCCACCGCGCGCCGATGCCTTAAGGGCCTTACCTTGCATGCCCCCACCCTGGTCCGCAAGGCCTCCTTTGCCCCCGGCGTCCCCGCACCGCAGGCTGCCCCTCCCGCGTGCCGGTGACCTCCAGCCGCGCGGGCCTGGCGCCATCTTGGATGTCTCTGGGGGCTGGGGGTAGGGTCGGAGCCTCGGAACTGGCGAGAGTCAAATCCCAAAGTGCTCGCGTTCGCCTTTCCCAACCTGGGCCCTTACCAACGCTCTTTGCTCGCTCTCTTACCCTTTCCAAGTAGTCACAACCCCCTTCTCTGTCTGCCCTCTCTCATTCTGACTCCTGCCCTGCCCTGAAACCTCCAGATTTTCTATCCCAGCACTTCAGGTGTCCCGAAGTCAGCACCCTTCGATTTAAGAAGTGAACTGTGCACGTGGTAGAAGTGAACAGAACAGCCAGAACGCCCCCCTCCCTCGGGCTGTAGCGAGGGAGAACCGTAGCCGAGAGAGGCCCTTTCTTTGGAGCCAGTGGTTGTCTCCCAGGACCTGCTTGCCCTTCCATTGCAGTGAAGTTAGAAAAAAACAAAAGAGGTAGATTAATAGTGAGGGTTTCCGTTAGAAGTAGCAGTCCCAAAAGGGTGGTGAGACCGGCATGGGGAGTCCCCACCTGGCCCCATTCCTGTCAGGGGTTTATTAATTGTCCCTAGACTCTGCCCCCAAGAGGAAAAGAAGATTTAAGGAAGGGAATGTTTCAGTGGCACTGTAACCCCTTCACTGATCTGCACTGAGGAGGAGATCCGTGATTAAGGCCCTCTGATTAAGGCTAGTGCTGGTGTTCAAGGTGTTACTCTTTAATAGTCGCAGACTTGTTAGGTGACCAGTGGAAGGATCTGCACTTCTCATAGACGCCCTTAATTGCTAACCTTTGATGTGGGTATATTCCATGCCAGATCACATTAAATTCTTTAAACATGCTGTTTCACTTAATCCTCCTAACAACTTTATTTCACAAATGATGATATTTTGGATTAATTGCCTTGGTGTTGAAAAAGTTCTCCTTTTTAAAGCCATAGAGAAATTTTGGGGGCCTCTCCTGGTGGCGCAGCAGATGAGCGCCGGGCTGCGAAGCTGCCCACAGCCTCTGCAGCGCCAGTTCGATCCCCGGCCTCCAGCGAGGGTCTCACATGGTGCGACAGACCTCTCCTGCCACGCCCGCTGCTCGCCTCAGCAGTGTACTTTGTCGGTCTGCCTGCTCTGCTCCCCGCTCTGGCTCTGGAGAATTCTCTCTCCCTCCCGCGCTTCTGACTGTACCCAGTGCTTGTATAAATAAATAAATAAATCTTTTTTTAAAAAAAAAAGAAATTTTGGACTTACACGACAACCAGCAGTAAAATTGGTTTAGAGTTACATATGGGCAGAAGTCAAGAGTTATAGACAGGACAAGAGTTGAAGACATCCATGAATCCGAAAGTAACTTAAGATTCTGGGTTCAAAAGTGTAAACTGGGATGATTTTGCATCCAGCTCACTTAAGGAAATGTCACTTAATAGGCCTACAACTCACTGAATATTTTAAGTCATAGCATATTAAGAAGCATTAATTTAGAAGAAGAGGAGTTCACTTCCTGGCTTTACCACTACCATAGTTTTAAGACAGCTTTAAAGGTACCTGAAAATCTTTTGGGAAGCTTGATTGAAATACAGTACCTTGGGCTCCCTGGTGGCGCAAGGGGTTAAGCACCGCACTATGAACTCTGCAGGGAGTTGGCCAGAGAGAAACCCACATGGGGAAGCGGACCTCTCCTGACTCACCAGCTGCTCCCCTCAGCAGTGTATTTCAGTAGATCTGCCTGTTCAGTTCCCCACTCTGTCTCTGGTGAATCCTCTCACCCCCCTGCATCTCTGGCCTGTACCCCAGCTCTTGTATGCATAAATAAATACATCTTTAAAAAAGAAAGAAAGAAAGAAATACAGTACCTTTCTTGGGCTTTATCCCCTAAGATCTTTGCCTGGAAGTTCTATGGTAGACTCCAAAAATAAGCAATTTTCATATATACACCAGATAATTCTAGTTCAGGTGGATTGCTCACTTCACTTGGAGAAACCTCATCTGTTCTTTTTTTTTTTAATCCAGTTCAGTCCATTCCAGTTTCAGTTCAAAACACTTTATTAGTAGAAGACAGAGGCATATTCTTTTTTTTTTTTTTTTTTTTAAGATTTATTTATTTATACAAGCACTGGGTACAGTCAGAAGGGCGGGAGGGTGAGAGAATTCACCAGAGCCAGAACAGAGAGCAGAACAGACAAACGAAGTAAACTGCTAAGGGGAGCAGTGGGCGGCAGGAGAGGTCTGCGCGCCATGTGGGACCCTCGCCTGGTGGCTGGGGATCGCACCGGTGCTGCAGAGGCTGCGGGCAGCTTCGCAACCCAGTGCTCAACTGCTGTTCTTTTCTAAGTTCAGTTTTACCAACATAGTCACCTACAGTGCATCAGCATTGTTTTAAATTTTAGAAAGACACATTGAACGCCCTGCGTTTAACGGTGAAAGTGAATACTTCCACAGTTATTACTAGTTAGAGTTAAGGCAGATTTGCTTATTGATCGGCCTCACCCTGTTAATGTAATAGATTGAAGTATTTTTGAGGAATTAAATACTTCCAGGTAGTGCAGTAAAAAAAAATTGTTGGAGACTGGTAAGCAGTGTCTTCACCTTCAACAAATATCTCCCAAATGTCTTTATTTTTTTTTTTTTCCTTTTAAAGATTTATTTATTTATACAAGCACTGGGTAGAGTCAGAAGCGCAGGAGGGTGAGAGAATTCACCAGAGCCAGAGTGGAGAGCAGAGCAGCAGAAGGACCGAAGTACACTGCTGAGGGGAGCTGCGGGTGGCAGGAGAGGTCTGCGCACCATGTGGGACCCTCCTCCGGTGGCCGGGGAGCAGCTGGGGATCGAACCAGCGCTGCAGAGCTTCTCAACCCCGCGCTCAAACGCTGCGCCACCAGGGAGGCCCTCCCAAATGTCTTTATTTTTTTTTTTTTTTTTTAATAGAGGCATGCTTTATTTATTTATTTTATTTGTTTGTTTGTTTTGTTTATACATGCACTGGGTACAGTCAGAAGCGCAGGAGGGTGAGAGAATTCACCAGAGCCAGAGTGGGGAGCAGAGCAGGCAGAAGGACCGAAGCACACTGCTGAGGGGAGCAGCGGGCGGCAAGAGAGGTCTGCGCGCCATGTGGGACCCTCCTCCGGTGGCCAGGAAGCAGCCGGGGATCGAACCGGCGCCACAGAGGCCGCGGGCAGCTTCGCAACCCAGCGCTCAACCGCTGCGCCACCGGGGAGGCCCCTCCCAAATGTCTTTAAAGAGCAACTTTTTTGTTGTTGTTGTTTGAGTTGGTTTACAATACTATAACAATTCAGAAGTACAAATTCACACCTTCAGATGTATTTTGCCACATAAAGCGTAGTTTTTTAGGCTTAGACAGGTATTGAGAAAGGCTCCTTTTGTATAAAGATTAAGGAAAACTTAAGCAGAGGACACTAGAGAAATTCCTCTGACCACCCCAACCCATAAGGCTACAAAATGGATAACAGGTCTTAAAGCTGGGACTAACTTGCTACTAGTTCAGACAAGGGAGAGTCACTTGATAACAAAAAAATCTTGGAAGCTGTATGGAGGCAATCTTGGCTTTGGGATTCTCATTCCATCTCTGCTGATGAATTGAGGTCAGTCATTCTGCTCTCTGGGCTATTTAAACTTTCCAGAGTGCCTTTTCTACAAATAAGGTTGTCTTTTGGTTAGCATGAACAATGTTTACAATGCTGCTTTTGTAATTCCAGCTTGCCTGCTACAGCCCCTCATCCCCCGAAAATGTATGCCTGCGCCAAGTTCGCCTCCACCCCCTCCTTGGTGAGTACCTGTCTTTTCTCTGAGAGTTTTTAAGAAGGGACATCTTGTCTCTTCCTTGTTCTTGACAGCTGGAAAGCGGGGAGCCTAATAGGAAAGAATGAATGCTTAATAGACACGTCTCTGCCCCGTATCCTTGGAGTCCAGTTAATTCTTCTCAATAGAAGAGTATTGATGAGACTCTAGACTAAGATCAGGTTATCCTATCCTGAAACTGTGTTCCTGTAGTCTGGAACCCCACTAGAAACAGTAACCATGAAGTAGATTACCTAACTTGGAATGCGCACACTGTTGCGTTTGTCCTTGGTGTCAGAAAGCTAAAGCTAGGCATTCCCTACGGGAACTTAGAAATGGATGGGAAAATTATTTGATTCAGAAACAACATGGAAGAAATTATAAATCAATAGGTGGTAGAGGCAAATGGTTCATTCATGTATAACTGAAATAAAAGTGATGGTGTTCATGGGACCCATTGATTGAGCACTTGCTATGCCTTGTACCAAGTTTACGCATTTGTATATGAGTAATCTCATTTACTCCTCAGATCAACCCTGAGATATATTTCCATTTGATAGACAGTAGCTTTAGGAAGACTTAAGTGACTTGTCCTAAGGTGACACAGGTGAAATAAAGCTAAGATATGAGTGTAAATCTCTCTGACAAAAGTCCTGGCTGTTAATCATCATGTGTGCTTTGGAAACACCGGCTTAGAGTGAGTCAGAAAAGGCTACCAGGAGGGGCTGAGTTTTGAGCATGGATCTTTGTGCCTGTTTTTCAGAAGGGTGTATTCTGAGGCAAATGCTCCAATCATTTGCTTCCTTTTTGTGGACTGACCATTTCCTCCATATATCTTACTGAGTGAAGCAAGTGTTTCTGAGGCTTAAATTTTTCCTTGTTTACAAGACTTGTAGAAGGATCCTGGGAGGGTGACCCAAAAGGAAATAAACTCACTTTCCTTAAATCAGAGAAGGCTGAGGAGCAGGGGGGAATGGGTGGTTCTAGAACTTAGAATTTCCTGAAGTTCTGGTTTAAGTTGGAGAATAAAAGGGGCATTCACATAACAACGTGGGGTAGTTCTAAAACTCCTTTCCGCAGCCTTCCTTGACCCTGCCCTGTGTCATTCTACTAGGTCAGGAGCACCTCTCAGCTGCTGAGTAGGTCACTGTCTACTGTGGTGCTGAAACAACCAGAGACACTGACAGACGAGGTACAGGTAGAACTGGGCCTGTGGTTTGGGGGTATGGGGTGGGAAAGGTTACCTGGCAGGACCAGTAGGGGGAGTGCTGAGGACAATCATCACAGGCCATTGATTTAGGTGGATTTGGAGGACAGTTGATACTATACATGCTGTGGTGTTGCAGCTTTTGCCACTGGCAACACATGCCCATATGTACTGCTGAAAACTGCCATCACTACCTAGTTTACTGACTTCAGTTAGCAGCACTTAGCCCCAGGAAAAGGATTTCTTTGGGGTACCAAGAACAAGCTAAGGCTTCAGACCATCCCTGAGTCCTGAAAATATTGGAAGTCTATGTCTTGCATTAAAAAGTTTACCTGGCAGCATTTTATGGTTTCTAGGGAGTTAAAATATCTTATTTGGGGATGAAACCATGAGATTTGACAGGATAAAGGGTTTTAATGTTACAAAAGTGTCCAAAGCCAAAAAAAAGTGGTTTCTTAAAAACTATCTTCTACCTACTGTTTCTTCATAGAGCCTCAGCAACTTGGCAGCCCCGCGTCCGCTGAACTCACTTATTCCTAGCCGCAGCTTCCAAACCAGCGCCATTTCAAGGGACATTGACACAGCAGCCAAGTTCATAGGAGCTGGGGCTGCCACAGTAGGGGTGGCTGGCTCTGGGGCTGGAATTGGGACTGTGTTTGGGAGCCTCATCATTGGTTATGCCAGGTAAGATGCTCCATTGGTCTCTCATACATTTGGGAATCTAGAGCTCTGTTACACTATGATGTAGCCAATAGCCACATGGGACTGTTGAATTTAAACTTTAATGAATTAAAAGTTTACAGAGTTAAAATTCAGTTCCTCAGTCACATCAACCCTATTTCACGTGATCAGTACCTCCACTGACTAGTGGTCACCTTATCGAGCAGCATAGATTTAGAACATAGCCATTGTTGAAGAAAGTTCTGTTGAACAGCTTTGGTTTAAAGCAGGTCAACAAACTAAGGAAGAAAGGCCAAATCTTAGCCATAGACTGGTTTTCTATAGCTGAGCTAAGAATAGATTTTACATTTTCAAAGAGTAGCAGCAGAGATCATAGGTGACCCACAAAATCTAAAACATAGATCTTCTCTACTTAAGGTGGTGGTACATCCCAATAAACCCATTGTATGTTGAAAATACTGAAGGTTAGAAAATAGAAATTACTGAGGGTTAAAAAGCTGACTGTGAACATGGCTCACTGCCACTGCCCAGGAAACAGTGTGGTTCTACAGAATGAATGGTTTTCACACCATCGAAAAGTAAAATAAAATCTATTATAAGTTGGGGACTGTCCGTATTTACTGTCTGGCCCTTTACAGAAAAAGTTTGCTGCCCCTGATCTAAGAGCCTTGAACAGCATAGTGGCTTCACTGCTGTTTTTCCCCGTCCCAGGGAATTCCTATCACTCCTGGGAAAACTGCCTATGCAGCCAGCCCCACTGCTCCGTGACGCTGGGGACTGTTTGGTCCCCACCACCTCTGGGCAGCTCACTGTCAGAACTAAATTAATCCTCTGGAGACCCACAAGTTCTGTTAATGTCTTTGGAGAAGTAGGTTTATTTTTTTTGAATTTGTATGAAACAAAAGCCTAGCTGCTTCTGTGTTCACAATTCTGTTCAAAGCTGCTGTTGCTTTACCTTACCTGTCAAGGATTTCAAAGGTGACAGAGTAAGGGAAATAGAAACTATATATGATTTTCAAAGTTGGGAGTCCTTTATCCCATTTTAATTCTTATCTTAAACTCACAGGCCACTTGTAGGTTCTTAAAACCCGAAACTTTTAGATGTTTTGAAATGAGAGGTGGTCCCCTTCCCACTGACACCCTTGTCGTCTTGTACAGTGTTTTCCTAATTGTGTTCCATAAAGCCCTAGGGTTCGGAGAGTATGCTCCCAGAGACTGTTAGAGGAGGAGAGGCCAATCAAACAGTCCTTTAGATTTCCACACTTTTACCATTGCAGTTTGCAGTTTGGCTTTCATGTTTCAAATATGGGGGTTCTGCTGCTTAAAGTTTGAAAACTCTGCTCTGATAGGCCCTGTCACTCTGGATAGCTCTTGCATCTTGGTTGAGCCCCAAATAAATGTCTGGGACCCAGAGATCTTAAATTACGATGATGATATGGGTGGTCCACTAGAGGGAGCAATGTATGTATCTGGGCCATGTTAGGGGATTTGGGATTGTCCCCTTTCTTGTAGAGCTTTTAATGTCTGGGAAAGAATTCAGGCAAAATGGTGTTACCCTGAAAGACTCGTTACATAAGATGAGTGTGAGGAGATGCATTCTCCAGAGCCCACTGTTGATGTTTGTCCTTCTCTTTGTGTGAACTATAAATTCAGTCTTTTCTTCTCCCCTTCTCCCAGGAACCCTTCTCTGAAGCAACAGCTCTTCTCCTATGCCATTCTGGGCTTTGCCCTCTCAGAGGCCATGGGGCTCTTTTGCCTGATGGTAGCCTTCCTCATCCTCTTCGCCATGTGAAGGAGCCGTCTCCACCTCCCATAGTTATTTCTCCCGCGTCTCGTCTGCCCTGTACCTTTTCCTGTACCTCCCCAGGCAGCCTGGGGAAAGTGGTTGGCTCAGGGTCTGACAGGGAAGACAAATAAATACTGTATTAATAAGATGTTTCTGAGTCTCCTGTGTGTATTTCTTTTCCACAGTTGGCCAGATGCCTGGGAGAGCCCAGAAGGCCTAGAGGGTGGTGACAGTTCTGAAGAAGGTGGATCTGAGCTCACTTGTTCTTCATTCTCTGTGTCAGGAAAACTTTATTCGAATTAGCATTCCTTTTTAATAGTTTTCACCTGGGATGGCCTGTTACCTTGGATGATCGGGTCAGTAGCAACTTTCAGTGCTGGCTTAGGAGTTTTGACTATTGAGCTCTGTTTCCACTGCTTCTATCCTGGCTCGGGCCTCCTTGCCACCCACCTGGTCTATTGCAATAACCTCTTAACTGGCCGCCTGCCACCAGTTTCTTCCCTCTAGCATCTACTTATACCCACCACTACCACAGGCTAATCCTTGTACATAGCACTGGTTTTGCCATTTACAATTTTAAAAAGTCTGACTTCAACTTACTCAGCTTTATCTTTTATTATTTCCATACTCTATCTAAATTGGATTATGTCATTTTTCAAATGCTTTCCTTTTCTTACCATATTTTCAGACCCTGCCCTTTAGCCATCTCTGCTTTCTTTCCCTAAATCTTTGCTTACTTTCCTTTTTTAAACTCTCTTTGTTATTGTGAAAGACTGAGCATTCCACGAATCTTTCATCTGGTTTCCATCCACCATCAGTCAAATGAGTACTTGCCCCAATAAAGGGCTACAGGACATACTCTTCTGCTTGTGGGCTATGAAAAATCGTGGATATGTGTACACATATGCCCGAGTATCTGTGCCTTATCTTCCAAGTTAGATTGAGGCAGAGGCTCATGTTCCTTTTTGTAGGCCTAGATGTATATATAGCATGATGCACTTTGGCAGTGTCAGTCAACATTTTTATTTAATTTTCTAAACCATGTGAGGAAACACTTGGGGAATTAAAGGAACTTTCACTAGCAGAGCTGAAACCAAAGCAAAGATCATGCCTTGAACCCAGGGTACCGCACTCACTGTTGATCTTTTGGGACTCCCAGACCCGGTGTTGCTGTCACTCTGCAAGCAGGAAGGAAAGGGCAGAATAAGCAGAGGTAAGCTTTTTCCTTTACACGTGCTTTAAGGACTTGGCCCTGTAGAGTTAGTATAAAGGTAAAGAACTACTTGTATTTTTTTAAAGCTAGATAAACTTGGAATAAGGCCTATACATGCTTGAAATAAGTAAATATAAATTAAAATCCTTTCAGAAATGATAATGCAGATGACCACAACAGTTTTTCTTTTGGTTCATTCAATGACTATAAAATTAAAACTCAGGCCAGAGACTTGAGCCCAGAGTAAAACATGCAAGGCAGCCAGTCACCCTAGATCATTTATCCTTACCCTTGTGCTATGTGAAACCACAGTTTACTTCCAGATTGCAATTCTACCCCCAGATTACTATTATACAGAATATATTGTATGCTGCTGACTGTCCATGCACCTCACACAAACAGCTATAGCCGGTGGTACACCCGCATAGCTGAACATGAGGGGAGTCCTCCCTTTGCTTTGCTCACTTGAATCTGGGCCTTGATAAGCCTATCCCCTTCCGTCCCCAAGCCATCAGGTATCTGTTTTCTTTCTCTCCTTGGCCCTTTCTTTGGGATTGAATTTACTAACAACCTAAGTGCCTTGAGAGTAAGGCTGAGTGGCCCACGTGTTTTCTCTCTGAGGTGAATGATGAGATGGTGCTGTAAGAAGCTTGGGAGCAGATTTCTTCAGGAGCAGTAAAGGCAATCTGAGTCCTCTCAGTTTCAGGCCCCAAGAGATTTATGGGCAGCTCAAATTGCCAACAACTCGTAGAATAGTGCTGTTTTAGTAGAGAGGGTCATTGAGCTAATTTTCTGAAGATCTTTCCAACTTTGATAATATTATGGAATGAAATTTTTCTACTTTATAGTTCTAGAAATAGCACATGATTTGAAATCAGGAGATACTAGTTCTAATCAATCACTGGCCATTGTGATGTTGGACAGATCACTAATAAATTTCTAGGACCTCAGTTTCTCCTCACCTACTAAATTGGGATAATCTCATCCTTGGAGTTATGTATGTGCACATGGAGGTAACTTGAGTTTTTGAAAAGGGTTAGTTCCATCAAAGTTCAATATCTGTTATGTTAATTATAATTTGCTTTTTTAGTCTCCATGGAGCTCAGAAAATATAATAGGCATTTTACAGTTTCTTCCTCATATAGTTGGCATAGAAAAGGAAACTGACTATCAAAAATTGATAAAATAACCAAAAAGCATTTGGTGTTTTTGGTCTTTTTTTTGTTATTGGTAGAAGAACTGGGGTGTAGGCCAGAGGTGTGGGGGGTGAGAGGATTCACCAGAGACAGAGTGGGGAGCAGGGCGGGCTGATCTACCGAGCTACTCTGCTGAGGGGATCATCTGGCAAAACTGGAGAGGTCTGCTGCACCAAGTAGGTCAGCTCCCTGGCCGGGGATCGAACTCATGCTGCAGTGGCTGGTGATAGCTGGATAGCGCTGAGACTTTAATCTCCGTGCCACCAGGGAGACCCCATCTAAATCTTTGACTCCAAAAGGTCATTTATCTGACCCTTTGCTTCACTTCATTGTATCTAGCTCAGGAAGGCCAAACAGGAAGTCCTTTAAACAAAAATTGTATGTCATGCACTTGTACCATTCATAGCTACGACATTTGTTTAGATCTTTTTTCTTGTTTTAACGGATGAGAAAACCAAGACTCAGATTCAAGACTCATGAGTCCATAGAAAAGAATAGCCTGTCACCCATGATCCTTGCCTTATACCACATAGCTCAAGGCATAGGGGCCGGGATATCACTGGAGAGAGAAAGACAAATCTAGACAGTTTTTTAGATTTCTCAGTGAAGGTGACTCATCTGTTTTCCTCATCATTACCACTCCTGTCGCTACCTCACAGAAAGGTAAAATTTTGCTTCCCCCTGGGTTCATTTTACCTCACTGCTCATTTCCTGGGTTTCTGGGCAGACTCAACTTAGTTGACTCAGCTCAGCCCCAAGATGGTATTTTTAACCATTGTGGATTAGAGCCTTCCAGGAACTGTGTAGCTGCTTTTATAGAAACCAACTTGCTGCAAGTGGGAGGAGGGGTGTGTGTGTGCAGGGATGGTATTGAGACTAAACAGACTTGTATCCCCTTTGCACCCCTAAGGTCTTTCCATCCATAGATCCCAACAGCTGGTACAAGGAGTTTAAGTTTCCAAAACATAGCCACAAAGGGTAACAAACAGCTAGCCCATAACTCCCTTAGCAACAGAATAGTCAGTGGGGATTTAGCTCAGAGAAAATTTGTATAGTGCTAAAGTCCCATAAAATTTTCAAAAAGTGGTTTAACCCTCTGGAATTGACCAGATCGAAAGTGCCAGAATCCTGGGTTCAAGTTATCTTTGGTTAACTCTCCTTGGACTTCAACTTCCTTCCATGTGTGAAACAGACACAGTTCCTTGAGATGTCATAGAAATAAAAGAAATTAGATTTTTTAACTTTGTTAGAGATTTAGATCTTATAAATTCGCAATCTCTGCTGTTTCTTAGTTACCAATTTACCAGGAGTAACTTAACACTGGGATTCTCTGCCAGAGCTAATATTAGACTCCTCTACCCTGGGGCTTCCTTTTCTCCTTCTTACTTTTGTTTTGAGATTTGAGGGAAACATGCACTGCTAGAATTAATAGACTAAAGGGAAACTTTCCCACTAGAAAACACTGTTTTCATCCTACCTACCTTATCACATCCTTTTTCAGAGGGTACTCAAATCTGCCCTGGATTTTGATTGTTTGAATCACTCATAGATATGGATCCAGAAAAGCCTAGGAATCTCTTGAGAGTCAGTGATAGTGTAAGAATGGAAATGGAGACAAACCCCTACTCTCTGTAGCCAGCCTCCCTTTTCCAGCCAGACAAGCTTTCTGCTGTTAAGACTTTGAGGTTCTCAGTCATGTCACATCACAAAAGGGCCTGGAGTTACTCCTAAGTGTGCTGACATCTCTCCGGGTGGGAGATTCAAGTATTGGACTCTTTTCCTAACCAGGAGCCTAGGGAAAAAGAATAGTTAAGGAGGGAGTCAGTCTTTTCCAGCCACAACCTAGAGAGAAAAGGAACAAATTCTTCACCAGGGAAGATTGTGTAAACAGTGCCTTTGGCTGGAGTAATAGACTTGGGGAAGCAAAGAAAGGGATCTTTGTTCTCCCCTACCCCAGCCAGAGCACAATCGTAGAGCTGGGATTGTTTGCTTTGGCAAGGGACACTCTGCCTGAAAGGACTAGGTGTTCCAGAGACCGGTGAGGCCTCTGTTGGGTTTCTCTTAAGGAGCTGAGGAGGACAACCCCCAGCCTAAATCTTTTACCTAAGGAAGTGAGCGAGGAAGCCCAGAGGCCTGAGGCAGCTGGCCATTCTTCTCTAGCTTTGTTCAACGCCTTCCTTTCCACCTGTACCCCAACACAGGATGTTAGTTAGCCTCCATCTTCCTGCCTTTGAAGGTGCTTTTAGTTCTTGCACTAGTGTCCTATCCCAAAAGAAGTCACACTGCCACAGAGAGCAAGACAATTCCAAGCCTCCTCTCTAAGGAAATCCAACAGGAAAAAAGAATTTCAAGATCATCTTAGCTATCCTGTTACTTTTAGGTTGTATTGCACACGATAGTTACGGTCACTCTTTCCAAAACTTTTCAAAGGCACCCCATTTCCTTGGGTAATGGCGGTGTCTTTCAAATGTGAACTAGTATTTATGTAGTGCCAGCTAATATCAGCATTTCACAAATGCCATTTCATTTAATCCTCATGACCGTGACTGGACTATAGGCAGATACAGTAACTCCCATTTTATAGATTAGGACACTAAGAATTAGATAAAGTTTTTTTTTTTTTTTTTTTTAATAGAGGCATGTTTTATTTATTTATTTATTTGTTTGTTTGTTTGTTTATACATGCACTGGGTACAGTCAGAAGCACGGGAGGGTGAGAGAATTCACCAGAGCCAGAGCGGGGAGCAGAGCAGGCAGAAGGACCGAAGTACACTGCTGAGGGGAGCAGCGGGCGGCAGGAGAGGTCTGCGCGCCATGTGGGACCCTCCTCCAGTGGCTGGGGAGCAGCCGGGGATCGAATCGGCGCGGCAGAGGCCGCGGGCAGCTTCGCAACCCAGCGCTCAACCGCTGCGCCACCGGGGAAGCCCAGAATTAGATAAAGTTATCTAACTAAAATTAGATAAAATAATTTTGCCCAAGGTCACAAAGATGGTGTGTTAGTTTGCTAGCACCACCATAAAGGGCCACAAACTAAATGGCTGGAACCAAAAATATGTATTAGCTCACAAGTCAAGGCTGAAAGTCGAAAATCAAGGTGTCAGCAGAGTTAGTTCCTTCTGAAGGCTGTGAAGCAGAATCTGGTCCTGTTCCCCCAGCCCCAACCATCTTTTAGTGGTTTGTTGATAATTTTTGGCTTATAGACCTACGCCTGCATGTGGCCATGGCAGAGCCCCTGTGCATATCTGTCCAAATTTCCCCTTTTTATAAACATACCAGTCATACTGGAGAATGGGCCCACACTATTCCCAATATGGTCACAGATCTTATAAATTCTCAATCTCTGCTGTTTCTTAGTTATCAACTGAGGTAACTAAGAGAGATACCTCCAGAGAGGTTAGGGGTGCTGAACCCTGTGCAAACAAATCCACATATAATTTCTGAATTCCCCAAAACTTAACTACTAGAAGCCTTACCAATAACAAAAACAGTCCATTGGGCCTCCCTGGTGGCACAATGGGTTAAGATGCAGCCTATGAAGCTATCCGCAGCCACTGCAGCATGAATTCGATCCCCAGCAAGGGAGCTACCCACATGGCTCAGCAGACCTCTCCTGACTCACCCGCTGCTGCCCTCTGCAGTGTATTTCAGTAGATTTGCCTGTTCTGTTCCCCACTCTGTCTCTGGTGAATCCTCTCACCCCCTTCACCCTCCATAACTCTGGCCTACACCCCAGCTCTTGTATGTATAAATAAATAAAATAAATCCTCAATGGCAGCCCAAATGAAGTCCACACAATTTAATGGT